ACTTTTACAAAAGGTAAACGACCCCTGAAAAATGTCCTTCATACCACTCAGCTGTTTATTTTTCGTTCATTTTAAGTTTAAAAATATCAGGATTCCATTGTTTTATATGAAATAAGTCTTTACATACTCAGTGAGACTATTTGTAGAGCTATCTTCTGCTTCCACCATAATGCTCTTTCAAAGCATTTCTGTTTTTAGAAAATTAAATTACTGCTAGCATTTAGATGAGGTTAAGATATAATTATGGAAAGATTGCACGCGTCCGTCGAGTTAATTATTCTCATAACGAGAAATGAAGAACTGACCATAGTGACAAGCACAGTTTTGGCTGGTCAGCTGTTGATGTAAGTGAAGATAAGATTTATCAGTCTGACGCTTTTGTTACACCTGACAGAAGATTAAACCCAGAAGAAAGCATTGGTTGAGCCATGTTAGTAATCGCAGTATAGTAATATCTGAATGAAGATAGATAGATTCCATATAGAAACTGAGAGTTGTTGCTGTTCAAGATTATCTCTTTAGGAACGTCATAGACGCAGGGACATGTCGGTGAATTTCATTCGGAACATGATTGAAAAAAAAAAACAAAAACGCAGAAGTTTGTAAAATCGAGAATACATAACCTCATCCGAAAAGTAAATACCTGGATTCAGTAAAGAAGTGTCTATATTGAGAATATGATATGAATTCCTGAGATTTTGTTTAGATTTTCATATGGCATGGGAGTTGCAGCCATTTTCATGGTTCTACTAAAACAAGTATTTTTTTGATCGAGGGGCAAATGTTGCAGAGTTTATATGGAAGAATATGAGGTTTGTATTCATTTTTTTGCACATAATAATGAGATATTCCATTGTAATGGCATCAGGTAGACATTTTGATTATTACCGTCGAATAATATCGCCTGTTAAAATAAACTTCAAATATTGCCGTATAAGACCGTTTTCTGAAAAGAAAAAAAGCTAAAATATTCGGATGCAAGGTAATTTGGAACAGATTTTGAGAAGTGGAGTGTTGTAATGGCATGTCCCACACTACCTATCGTCTATGTGCATTGACTATATCAGTAGCTATATATAGTGAGCACATGATAAACCTGAGGCTTGCTTCGGCAAGCTAGTCTAATTCTATGGCGAGTGGCAGAGTGTCGTCAGGGGTGGTAGACAGCTACCCGAGCCCATTTTTGACGGGGTCTACGAGGAATTCTTTGTCCGAGCCTACGCGCTCGGATACCCCACGTTAAATTCAGCCTTGTGCCACATCTGACCGCTTAAGGCGGTTGGGAAATATCTTTGTTTTGGTGATTAGTTGGAGATTCTTCTCTAGCTTAGCTAATCTAACTCTCTGCTATTTACCCCGCATTAAATAAAGGCCTTGTGCCACACCCTGCCTCGCCGGGTGGTGAGGTAAATAAACTTGCTTCGGCAAGCTTGTCTAACACTATGCTTTCAGGCAGAAAGGAACCCAGAGGAGGCTATGCCGAAGGGCAGAGTATCGTCTACGTTGGTAGACACTTACCCGACCACGTTTTTTTTTGGAATTTTTGCCCAAGCCTACGGGCTCGAATACCCCACGTTAAATTCAACCTTGTGCCACATCTGACCGCGTGGGGCAGTTGGCAAATATGTTTGCTTGGGTAATTACTAAGCCAATCTAACTGTCTGCATTCTGGCAGAGAGGAACCCAGACGAGGCTATGCCGAATAGCAGAGTCTCGTTCGGGTTGGTAGACATCTACCCGACCCCGTTTTTACGGGGTCTACGGAAATTATGCCCGAGCCCACGGGCTCGGTTTTAACCTTCATTAAACCGGCCATGTGCAACATCCTGCCTCGCGGGTGGTAAGGTAAATAACCTGGCTTCGGCAATTAGTTGGAGATTCGTCACCAGCTGACCTGGTCGAACGCTCTGCCTTCGAGCAGAGTGGAACCCAGACGACGGTATGTCAAAGGGCAGAATCTTTTCTCGGGAAACAGCTACCCGATCCCGTTTTATGGGGGGAATTTTTGGCAGAGCCTGCTTATTCGGATACCCCGCGTTATATTCGGCCTTGTGCTACATATGACCGCGTAGGGCGGTTGGTAGATATCATTGTTTCGGGAATGACTAGCCTGCCCAACGATTCCTGCCTTTCAGAAGTGTATTCTCTTTTAAAATAAACCTCGATTCTTTCATCTACGTGCGTGTTGCTGTTCCTTCACTCGAATACCACCTTTGTCTGTTTGCAACCTCTTTAAGGATACAACATGGTGATATCTATTCGGCACCTCCTCATGCAACATAAGGATTACTGCCGTATCACGTTAGAACTCGTACGATCATCAAAGTTAAGTTGGTGTACTCGATAATGGCTCGTAATTGTTAATAGGAAAGCCTACTTCTTATTCTCGTTGAGTTATTTATTTAGAATCACTCGAAAATTGGGAAAGTTATGAATCCACTTCTTTTAGCTTCAGGCTGTGGGTTAAATAGTAAGACTTATATCACTAAACGATTATTATGTCCCCATTTAAAAGTAGCAAATTCTTAGAATCTGAAAATATATTCTGGTTTTCTATAGCCTGCACTGGGTTGATAAAGCGTAGAAAACAAATCAGTTAATCAAATTATGTAGAGGCATATTGTGTATCATGGAACAGTTACTGAAATACAAATTAGGAGACGGATAGAAAATTCTTGATTAGCGTACCTTTCGTAGTCTCCCGATTAAACAGCCCAAGAAAGAAAATAACTGCTATCCTTTCTTTGGAATACCAGAAATGCCTGCACAAATCAACTTGCTAATTAGGACCCTTATTTAATAAGACGTAAGTATTGTTTTTGTCAGCCTCTGACAGTGGGCAACTGGAGTAAGTGTATATAACAAAGAAGTATATATGTAGATTGCGTGTATTGGTGTTATTATGGGAGTGGGAGAAAAAAAATAATCAGTTAGTCTGACGATCGCAAAAGCGTGATACCCAGGGTCACAAGCTCACATCAATCCAACTAAATATGTTAGCTCTATCTCTGATATTGAGCGCTTTCTCATAAGTACCGCGCATATAATATATATATATATATATATATATATATATATATATATATATATATATATATATATATTTGTATTTGTATTTATATACACATTTTCACACACACACATATATATATTTATGTGTGTGTGTTTGTGTGTGTGTGTGTGTGTTTGTGTGTGTGTGTGTGTGTATTAAGCTGTTACACCAAGCAAGGCAGGCCACTAGCACACAAGCGGTTACAGAGAGAGAGAGAGAGAGAGTAAAGTAGGCGTGATAGAGGAAAGGATGAAAAGAAGGACTGTTAATATATCAAGGCATCTAGAGATGTCGATTAACATTACATTTGAATAGCTGGAGATTATAGCTATCAGGGTAACTGCAATAGGGAAGGGAGTTCCACAGACGAGAGGTGCGAGATATGAAGCTATTGGAGTAGAAGAGACGGCTAAATTTAACTGTTTCGACAGTAAAAGAGTGGGACCGTGCCTAGTTCCACATTTACATTCATGCAGTCTGCGAACTAGCAGAGGTAAAAATATTTGTAGAAAAGACAGAGAGAGGCAACGGCACGTCTGTGAGAGAGCGAGTGTAGTTGAGATGCCAAATCAGTGTCAGTTCCATTGCATATCCGTCTCTGGATTTTGTCGAGGATCTTAAGAGGATGTTCCAGATGATATATGGCAGCAATATTCCATGAAAGGGCGAATGGTTAATTTACAGATTTGAAGGATGAACTCGGGCGAGGAAAACTTTCTGGCGCGACACAGGGAACCAACTTTCCTTGAGGTGGATGAAGCTATTGATTCCATGTATTTGTTCCATCTCAGGTCAGCGTACAGTGTTAGATCAAGCAGTTGCAAAGAGGTGCTCTCATGGAGTTGAGTTTTAGACATTCTAATAGGCAGGGATGGTCCTCTGTAGTGAGTAATAGAGAGCAGTTCTGTTTTTGAGGCGTTAAAGTTAACCATGCAAAGCTTTACATTTAGGGGACCATAACAACTGATTGTTTAGAATTATTCTGAATAGACAATAAATGCTGTATTTTAAAAAAACTATGTTCAAAAAATATTTTTTACTTGTAAACAAGAGCGAAATTAAAAAATGTGGTAGTCGTAATTAAAAGGTGTGTCGGAAAATCTTTTAAATTGTAAAAAGGATGCGAAATTAATAAAGAAGTTCGTCATAATAAAAGGGGTTTCGGAAATCCATTTAAATTGTGAAAAAGAAGAATTTAATCTACGATGTGTCCGTGAAAAAAGGGGTGTCGGAAATTCTTTTAAATGGTAAAAAATAAAAAAATTAATAAACAGGGTAGTCATAATAAAATCGGTGTGGTCAGCAAATTTCATTAAAAAATAAGTAAATAACCCCACAACCCCACCCTATGTATCATATATATATATATATATATATATATATATATATATATATATATATATATATATATATATACGAACCCAATAGATTTTCAAAAGAAGGAGCCTCAGAGAGTGAAATAATTCATTGTGACTGGTTAGAATTCAATGTCAGTTAGGTTATCATGAAAGAATACAAGTTTTTTTTTTTTCGGGTATTGAAAGATATAAGCCAGTCCCACCACCATAGGGCTTTCAGAACTGAAGCCCCTCTTTCCATTTATTCTGTTAAGCATTCGCTCAAACTTATCAAGTAGGTTACACATTGTTTTCCATGCAACACTTTCTTTAGACATGCCCTGTCAGAGTGATTTTTTCCATTTTTATTCCTTCGCTATGCTAGCTGTTGCATTCTGATTGTGGGGTGTGATAAGCGAACCAATCAATCATTCTGACTTTTAGCAAACTGAATCGTTTCTAGCCTCTTTAAAACTTCGCCGTAACTTAACTGCCTACAAGTCAAATTTTCCCTTCAGGACGTAGGCGATCATAGCCCTCCACCTTTGAATCTCTTAATAAGTTTTGTCTTTTTGTTATATCTCCCAGACTCTGTTCTGCTATTCGCTTGC